TGTCTTTCTCTTCTCCTTCTGGGACCCCTATTATGCAAAAATTGTTTGAGTTGGAGTTGTCATACAGCTCTTTTAGCATCTTCTCATTTTTGGAAGTTATTTTTTATAACTGTTCCTCAGCTTGGTTACTCTGCAATTCTCTATCTTCCATCACACTGATTCATTCCTCTGCCTCCTCTATCCTGCTTTTTATTCCATTGTATTTTTCATTTTGGTTATTGTACTCTTCCATTCTGAATGGCTCTTTTTCATATTTTGTATCTCTTTGTTGAAATTTTCTTTGAGGTTGTGAATTGATTCCCCCATTTTAGTGAGTATCTTTATGACTGTTGCTTTAAATTCTTTATCAGGAAGATTGCTCATCTCCATCTCATTTAGCCCATTTTCTGGTGTTTTTTCTTGTTCTTTTGTTTGGAACATATTTCTCTACCTCATTTTTTCTGAGTCTCTTGTTTCTTCCTTTGTATTAGATAGATAAGCTATGCTTCCTCATTTTCAAAGCAATGGCTTTGTGAAGTGTGCATCCTGTGGTGCCCAGAAACTCAAGACCTTCTTCTCCCCAGAGCCTGGTTCTCTGTTGCAGCTGAACTGTGGTTTCTGTTGGTGGGCTATGGGTAGGGCCTGCCTTTCTGCCTGTCTGTGAGCCATGGCTGATCCCCACAGCTAGCCTCTGCATGCACTTTATATAATGTGAGGCACTTCTGCTGGGATTCATTGTGGGCGGGGCCATCCTCTGTCTGCCTGTCAGTAATGGGAGACTGCTGCCAGACTGAACATGCCAGGTGGGGCAGGCACACCATGAGGTGCTGGGGTTGAGCCAGTGGGGTAGGTGGAGAGCCCCAGAGCTAGCTTCTGCCAGTGCCTGGCCAGTTTGGCTGGGGGAGGCTGGGAAAGCTGGGGAAGTATTGTCTATACTCTGCCTGCCAGTCAGCAAAGTTGGACCACTGCTGCGCTGAGCAGACCAGGTCAGGTGGTTATGCAGAGAAGTGCTGCTGCAGGGTTGAGCTGCTAGCAAGGGAGATGGAGAATTTTAAAGCTGTTTCCTGTAAGCTCCTGACAGGTTGGGCTGAGTGAGGGCTGGGGAAGTGTTGTTTGCCTGCCCTTTCTCTTTCTCCTGACCCTTTGGTATACTTTTCACTCCTGGAAAATATTTCAAACTGCTGCCTCTGTGTTGGGTCTCAGTGGGATTGACAGAGCATGCCTGTCCTCCACAAGTGACAGGAGTGTCAGCCCCCCACAGCACCCCAGTTCCTCTGGTGTCCAGCCCCATTAATCATCAAAGCCCAGTGCAATGTGGACTTACAGTCCCGGAGCAGATCTCCAGAGCCAGGTGTGATGGATTCCTGAGCATTTATCCCCTCCCCTCTCTGTTCTCCTTCCTGCTTATAGGCTGGGATTGGGGAAGGGCTTGGTCCCAAATGATCACAACTCTGCCCCTTTATCCTTCCCAGTGTGTTCCTCTCTTCTTCACCACGTGTAGGTGGTTTGTTCTGCTGTCTTCATTTTTATGGTTAGTTGTATTTGCTGTAGTTGCTTCCTCAGTGTGCATGTGGGAGGAGGTTTTCGCCTTGCCATCCTATTCTACCATCTTTCTCCTAAAAGTTGGCCATTGTTTTTAATAAGTATACACATGTACATATTTCTTAGTTCTATCTACTGAAAGGGTCTAATAGCAATGTATATATTCTAAGTCCAGATGTGAGTCAGGTACTGTTCTTTTATTAATAAAACCAGGGTTCTTTGAAGAAATAGCTGATTTTTGAGCTGGACAGGGAGAGTAAAGATAAGCCTGGGACCCAGTAATTCTACTCCCAGGAATTTATCTGAAGAAAACAAAATCCTTGATTTGAAAAGATATATGCATCCCCATGTTTATTGCTGCACTATTTGCAATAGCCAAGATATGAAAGCAACCTGTTTCCATGGATAGATGAGTGGATAAAGAAGACGTGGTACATATACACAATGGAATATTAGTTAGCCATAAAAGGAAAAGAAATCCTGCTATTTGCAACAACCTGGATGGAGCTAGAGGTTATTATGCTCAGTGAAATAAACCAGGTGGAGAAAGACAAGTACCATATGATTTCACTTAATTTTTAGAGTAGAAAAACAAAGCAAAACAGAAAGAATAAAACAGAATTAGATTCATAGAAAGTGACTAGTGGTTACCAAGGGGGAGGAGAGGGGGAACAGGTGGGAGGGAGAGGGGGAGGGCATAAAAGGGCACAATTGTTCATGATCACAGTATAAGTTGATCTTGGGGACTGTTAAACCACTGTGATGTACATTTGAAACCAACATAAGATTGTATGTTAATGGTATTTTTTTTTATTAAGGTATCATTGATATACACTCTCATGAAGGTTTCATATGAAAAACATTGTGGTTACTACATTCACCCATATTATCAAGTACCCCCCCATACCCCACTGCACTCACTGTCCATCAGTGTAGTAAGATGCCACAGAGTCACTACTTGTCTTCTTTGTGCTACACTGTCTTCCCCGTAACCCCCACAACACAATGTGTACTAATCATAACACCCCTCAATCTGCTTATCCCTCCCTCCCCACCCACCCTTCCCTATCCCTCCCTAGTCCCTTCTTGGGTTCTGTGAGTCTGTTGCTGTTTTGTTCCTTCAGTTTTGCTTCATTGTTATACTCCACAAATGAGGGAAATCATTTGATACTTGTCTTTCTTCACCTGGCTTATTTCACTAGAGCATAATACCCTCTAGCTCCATCCATGTTACTGCAAATGGTAGGATTTGTTTTCTTATGGCTGAATAGCATTCCATTGTGTGTATGTACCACATCGTCTTTATCCATTCATCTACTGATGGACACTTAGGGTGTTTCCATGTGTTGGCTATTGTAAATAGTGCTGTGATAAACATATGGGTGCATATGTCTTTTTTAATCTGAGAATGATACTTTGATAAAAATTAAGATAAGCTGGAACATCCTTTATCAGAAAATAAAGGAGTGGTCAAAAAATGTTCAGGATTTGTCAAAGGGCAATTACTGGGTAAAAACCTGATGACCCACATGAAATTTACATAGACTCAAAATCTCTTTGCTAAAATTATTAATTGCAGAGGGAAAAACAGTAAATTTATTGTGGGCAAACCTGAGGGGTGGGGCCTGGGGTAACACTTTAATGGGTGATCAATGTTAATATCACCAATAATGGGATAAAACATCATGTCCTCCTGATGTGATACTATGAGGACACAGTATCACATTTGTGATAATCCCACCCAGAAAGAAACAAATTAAACTGAATCTAATGAGGAAACATCAGAACTCCAAACTGATGGATTCCTTTTTTTAAATGGATTGAATGTACTCTTAAAAAATGGCCATGTCGTGCGACAGTGGAAAGCTGAGGATATCTTCCAGAGTGAAGGAGTCTAAAGAGACAAGATAACTAAATGCAATGTGTGCTCCTGGATTAGATCCTGAACTGGAAAAGAAATTCCTATAATGACCATCATTTGGACACAAGTAAAATTTGAGTATTGACTATATTATATAGTAATACTGTAGCAATGTTAAATTTCTTGATTTTTAAAAATTTGTATTGTGATTATGTAAGATAATCTTGTTCCTAAGAAAGACTCATTGAAGTATTTAGAGGTCAGTGTACACAATGTCTGCCATTTACTCCAAATAACTTAGAAAAAATATGTGTGTACACATGCATAGAGCACAGATGTGGCAAAATGTTAACAATTGGGGAAGGTGGGTGTTGGGTATAGGAGTTTTTTGTACTTCTCTTGCAGCTTTTCTCCAAAGTTATTCTGAAAACAAATTCTTGTGTATTTTTTATTAAAGTATCATTGATATACAATCTTACGGAGGTTTCACATGAGCAATATTATGGTTACTACATTCACCCATATTATCAAGTCCCCCCTGACACCCCATTGCAGTTATTGTCCATCAGTGTAGTAAGATGCTATAGAGCCACTGCTTGTCTTCTCTGTGCTATACTGCCTGCCCCGTGACCCCCCTAAATTATGTGTGTTAATCATAATTTGCATTTATTTTAAATTTCTTCTTGCTCCTTCCCTGATACTTAAAAAATCTTTTTTCCCTTCTCCCTCCTACTCAGAATCTGGAGTCCTTATTGGGCAAGAGTTTAATTGAAAATTTACCAGGGAAATGGCACGGGAGATATGGGAATTGGTATCACTTACAATGGGGATGAAATGACTAGCTCTGAGCAGCTGAGGAGGAAATGCTGCTTTTCTGCTTTGTTGCAGGCTCTGTTCTGGCTGAAGGGCTGTGGTTTGAGGTCCGCCCCACCTCCCTTGTTCTGGAGGGAAAGGGAAGCATTTTAGTCACAGGAATCTTGTCATTATTTCATCTTAATTTCATGATTGGAAACTGAGAGGAAAGGGGGAAATCACAAAGGAAGCAAGAAAGATATGTATCCATATTATTCATCAACTCTTCCCTTCTTAAATAGCCAGGTCATGCAAAAGTGTGTGGGATCTCTAATATAGACGGATCTATCAAGCTAACCTGAGACCATTTTTGAAAAATGCTTCACACTGGACTATTGTGTGGTTAAAGTTCTTTAATATCCAGAATAATGCTGGTATGATACAGAAAAGCATCCAGTCCTCATGTCCGTATTGTAATTCCAGTATTTACAGTAGGTAACTACATTCCAATCCAGAGATTAGGTACAGATTTCACAATTACAAAGAGGCAAACATCAACATCACTCTGAAAGGACATTCACCAAGCAAAGCAGAAGTCAGGAATAGTGACAAAATGCTTTAACCAAAAGTTGCACTGATAACAGTCCTACACAAGCCTTCAAATTCACAGCCAAGAAGAAACAAACCACAACATTAGCAACGTAGCAGCCAATAGGTAACCAGTCACGGCTGTGCATAGTTTACCATAGACAGACCTTTGGAGACTGGGGGCATAGAAGGCTCAGGATTTAAAGTCAGCCCACATCCCACCCACCCGCCTGCGGCCCCTGTAGTTTACAACAGGATCTGCTAATTCTGAGGGTCCTATTTTAAAGAAGTCCAGTTTCTTCTAGTAGTTTGGGGCTTTTTTTTCCCTCATCTATTTCAAGGCTCACAGGTAGTCTGCAAAAACAAGTGCTTCCCAAACCAGTGATAAGGAAGGAAGCATAGGGCTCTCAATTTCACAAAGTGATGGACAAAAAAGACTAATTCCTAGGCAATTATAGAGTGTGAAAGTGTGCTCCTAACCCCTTGCCCCACCCCGCCCCCACCCTGTTCTGTATTCTTTTGTTTGAATTAGCTTGTTTCTCTACGGTGACCGGTGAATGCCCACCATGGGCCCAAAGTGCCATTCTTGGAGGGATTTTCATTTTTTTCAGAAATCAAAGCCTTGAACTAAAAGAATCAACTGCATATCTAGAGCTGGTGGAACAGGTTTGCTCTGAAATCACACCCTGTTGGTATCACATAGGCCTGGGAGCCTCTGTCCTGGAGAACTGAGCCAATTAATATTCTCTACCAAATTTCTGGCAGGTGTCAACCTGCCCTTCATAAAGGCTCAACAACTATGTTACTTCTAAGTGTTTCATCTCAACATCAAGTCCCCACAGGGCTGGAGGAGAAGCCTCGATGTACCAGCTTTGTCCTGCCTGGGTTCTACTGCCCTAAAGCCCTCTTTGGGCTTCATGTAAGAGGCTGATTTGCTTTTCAGTGGTAGATTGAAGCTTTCCTGTACACAAGTATATACCTAATTCCCAGGACAACTAATTCAGCTATTTTTACATCCCCTTAGTGAATGAGGCTGAAAAAGAACTGGCCTGTATTAAATGAAATAAAGTCTGGAGATTTTTAAACCACCACAGATGTAGTCAACAAGTTAAATAATGAGCTCTCTGACAGGAGCGTTTCATGTTTAAAATTCTGGTTGTGTGCTACACTGCTTTCCTTGTGCTCCCTTGTTAGCTGTAGGCACCATTAAAGGTTCAATTTCTTGCACGTTGATTTATTTTCAGAATTATCAAAAAAAAATCTTAGATTCAATGAGTTCTTACATAGATTCCAAAAGTTAGTTTTTTTTGTCATTCTGATACTCTAAAGTGTGTCATGTTGATAACTTTTATTTTTGTACATTATTGTGACTTACATTTTGTTTTTAAAGATGAGACTTTCATTTTTAGTGATCATATCCTGCTTTGCTGGGCCTCAACTGTACTTTTCTGGGCTTTTCATCTTTGATGGTAAATTTTGAGAGGAATGAATAAGTCATTTCTGAGCCATGATTTGAAGGAAATTAAAAAAAAAAAGAAAGCCTTTCCCAGACCATCCCTCCAAGTAGCACTTCTGACTCAAGGCAGCACAGTGACCTGCTTGTGTCTGAATGTGAACTGGGGTCTGGATGAGGGAAATTGGGGGCCTACAAAAGAGCTCTGGAGAAAGTTTGAAAGCACAGAGTGAAACCAAATTTGTTTTCTACATTTTGCCTCAGGTTTGACTTTTGAAGAGGAAAGACCTCTAAAAACAATTTAAGAGAACCGTGACTGAGTAACTTGGAGAATATCTTAATGCAGTGAAGGGCTATTATACAACTAGTCATCTCAAAACAGAGCATGACTAAATGGGTCTAATTGGCATGAAATAGAATATGTGATATTTGTTTAGGTAAAAGGAAAAATTCCTACTGGTAAAAACTAAAATAACTGGCCAAGGAGACTTGGTCATCTTATTTGCAGAACAGAGACCCCTTTAAAGGATTGGTGTGATCAGTCCTTCCAGAGCCAGGATTCCGAGAGGAAGGCTGGCTCTGTGGAGGCCAGGATGGTTTCACTGGGTGCCAGGAACTGGCATCAGCTGGGAAAGGGAGAAGCAAGATCTTTACTCAGATGTAGGGACAGGAAAACATACCATGGTACAGAACACATAATAGCTGTGTAATAAATACTGATGAGTTGATAAAGAAATGGAGTCTTAGAAGCCATTTGAATGTCACTTTTGTTAGCAGGTGACACTGACTTACAGTCTTCTGGTTCTCATTGGCACAAGATTACTTCATAACACATATTGCACAAAACTCTGTGACAGGTTTCCACAGAGAAAGCTTTCCACCCAGTCTCTGCTGCTCTGCCAGAAGGTCAGGCATAAGCTGTCTAAGTCATTGCTCCTGGTGGCCCAGCCTGCCTGCTCCTATGAAAGGCCATGAGTCTGTCTCTGTACCTCAGCTGCAAACTCCACTGGTGTCAGGCAGCCTTGGTCATAGTCAGGAATCATTCAACATGGCAGTGATTGTGGCAGCTGTGACTCCTTTTTGGCAACAGACCTCAGGCCTTTATGAAGCCCTCAGAGGCTCAAACTGGAAGATGTCTTTTTTGAAATTAAATAAATGAGAATCAGCTCATCCATCTTTAGAGGAAGCTGATTATGGCCATTCTTTTGAGGGGAGTTGTTTACTTTTCAGGGGAGCTTGCTGTTCCCCTGCCAGTACAACTTTTCTTCTACTTTTTTCTTTTTCCATCTGCAAAGCAGCAGCATCTTAAAGGTTTTCCTGAAGGTTTTGTTGCAGAGGGCATAGCAAATGGGGTTAACAGTGCTGTTGACGTAGCACAACCAGTAACCCAAGTGCCACAAGGTGACCGGAACACATTTGTCACAGAAGGTGGAGACCAGGACCATGATGTTATACGGAGTCCACGTGATGATAAAGGCCAGGAGAATGGCACTCAGGGTCTGGGCTGCTTTCCTCTCCTTGACCAGGACCATTCTCTTCCGTTTGGTCATTTGGTGGCTGAGGTTGGGATCAAGGCCTTTTGGGGAAGAGTCCTTGGACACTGGGAAGGAGCAGGGCATGATTTTCACCTTGTGGCAGCCATTGTTGGTCTTCTGGGTCCCATCAGCCTTTACCACTAATCGGCACTTATAGGCCCCACATTTTTGATTCTTGGGTCTGTGAGCAGCAGTTGGAGACAGGAAGCATTTCTGGGCGTCATAGTTGTTTTTTGCAGTTAGAGCTTTCACAAAAGTTTCCTTGGTCTCTTTAGCATGGCATTCTTCCCTGGGGCTTTCCTTGCCTTGAGTCTCATAGACCAGCTGGAAGACAGGGTCAGCGGTGGGCTTGTCCTCATCCTCTGAGGAGGCATAGCTGCTGCAGGTTGTGAGCGGCTCAGCTTTCGCCCACTCCAGGCTTGGGCCACTGGCTTGGGACGGCTTCCCAGGGGTGGAGGTGCTTCTGTGGGAGGATGACCACGAGGCTTGGTTCCTTCCCCTCTGGGCCAGTGTGGGTTGAGGGCAGCTGAGGCAGGACCTGAGCAGGGCTTTGTGGGCTGGCTTTCTCTTCTCGGCTCCGGCCATGGAGTCAGAGCCCTGCAGGTCAGCCAGGTCCTTGGTCCGCTTCTCTGTTTCCCGGTAGATTCGGCAGTAGAGGATTGTCATGACAGAAACAGGGATGTAGAAGGCAGCAATGGCAGTGCCAAAAGTGATGGTGGGCTCCGAGAGGAACTGAATCTGGCACTCATCTGCTGGTACTGTCCGCTGCCCAACCAGGTACTGCCAGCAGAGGATTGCTGGGGCCCAGAGGATGAAGGAGACCAGCCAGGCCAAGCCAATCATGATGCCAGCCCTTCTGGGCGTGCGCTTGGCCCGATAGGTCAGGGGTCTTGTGATAGAAAAGTAACGGTCAAAACTAATCACCAGGAGGTTCATGACGGAAGCATTGCTAGCCACGTAGTCCAGTGCAAGCCAAAGGTCACAAGCCAGACTCCCGAGAGCCCAGCGTCCCATGAGGATATAGGTGGTGTAGAGGTTCATGGAGAAGATCCCAATGATGAGGTCTGCACAGGCTAAGCTGAGCAGGTAATAGTTGTTCACCGTCTTCAGCTGACTGTTCACTTGGAAGGAGATCATGACTAAGACATTGCCCACAATGGTGATCAGGCTTACCACGGCAGTCACAGCAGCAATGGTGATGACTTCCCACAGCCCGTGACGCTCCAGAGGCTGGTGATTCACTGGGGTGCCATTGACAGTGGTTGCATTGTGGTAAGATTCCCCTTCCATCCTGGTGCAAGACCTTATTTTAGGATTAAGTTGTAGGACTAGACTGTTCTCTTGTCTCACCTCTCCTTGGCCAACTTCTGGAAGACAGGGAAACACATTAGCTCCACTCACCAGCATGAATTTCTTTACCGCTCATTGTCTATCATTTTTGACAGAGTATTAAGTGTGGCCACACACATATTCAGAGCAATATGCTGAAAGCTCTAAAGTTTGCATAGAATTTTTATAATGGCATCATCCCTTTGCTTTTTATAATTAACCAGTGCCTGAGAGCCTTTCTAGCATATGAGGCTGCTGCCCTCTTGTGGTTACACTAGGTAATTTAAAAAAGGGCTGGGAAAATAAGCGGGAATTCCATCTTGTAGGGATAATCAGTGTTAACAGTTTAGTAGGTATTTTGACAGCTTTACCCTATGCATATGTAACAAATATGAAACACGATTATTTTTAAATGGGTGAAGTTTTAATGTTTACACTCTGAATTTTGTTTTTTACTTAACAAATCATCAGGACTTCTTTTGTATCAGCACATATTTTGGACCAAAGCTTTTTTTTTTTCATTTAAATGACTGCAATTATCCTATTTAATGGGTATGCTATATTTAATCAACCCATTGACAAATTCCAACTTTTAAAAATAAAAGGAAAATTTCCTTTTCTAGGTTAAAATCTATGTGCAGTATAAAAAGCTCCAATGGTTAAAAAAGTGTAACTGGTAAAAGAGAGATCCCCTCTCACCTCTGACCTCCAAGATCCAAATCCCCCTTTTCCAGAAGTAACCACTATTAACATTTCTTATCTTTCCTTCCAGAGACATAACATATGCATGCAATATATATTTGATAATATGTGAAAGATACCATTTCAATTATAATATTCAGGTACCATGACATGATGATAGTGAAGGGAGAAGTCTTTTTAATGATGCTCAAATTGTAGCATGTGGGCAATACCTGCTCTGCTTACTGGCTGGTTTTGATACTTGTTTGATAATTGGTATAAAGAAGACAAACTTGTGAAGGCTATAGATTTTCTTGGCATTGTTTTATATTTTCAACTATATTTTAGATGTTTTTCTAATGCCTCAAATTCAATAAGGAATTGAATTGATAGTGCCTTATATCAGAAAGGCTTCCTGATCTTGCACCTTTCACCCTCACATCCAAATTAATGCAGTCCAATCAACCCATGAAATATCCCTTTCATGGGTTCCTTTTTATTCTTGCAGCTCCCACTCTGGTCCAGCCTTCAGTTACCTTATGCCCATTACTCCTAAGGCATCAAAGCAAATTCCCAAGATGCCAGGTCATCAGACAGAGAGTCCCTAGCACCTGAAAAGACCAAAGTTACTCTACACCCTACAATTCTATGGACAAATTCCATCATGGACTTGTTCTGGTTGTCAGATCTAAGCTGCACAGTTCAAGAAAAGACATACTGAAATCCCTTCCTTTCTCATTCACTTCTTTTCTTCCTTCCCTTAATACATATTTACTGAATGTCTCTTGTGTGACAGATTCTCAAGCTGGAGATACTATGGAAAATGACACCAGTGGGGATATAAACAGGTAATAAGTATCAGGGTCAGAGCACTGCATGTCAGAGGTGCACATGGGAAGAACATCAAACCCAGTCCAGTGGAGTAGAGGAAGCACTTCCTGAGGAAAAGATGTCTAACTGAGACTTAAAGCATGAGTGGGCTTTAGCTAAGCCATGGCGGTATGTGTGTGAGTGGGCTGGGGAAACAGTTAGCCTCCGATGGGAAGGGCATGTGTGTAAGCCCAGAGATGAAAGTAAGCCTTATGTTGGAGGGAGCTTGAGAAGTGAGAGGTGAGACTAGAAAGGTTGAGGGTGGGGTAGGAGGGACAGGAGTAGACTTGAAAGAAAAATCCACTTTCTAGGGGAACTCTGTCAGCTATTTCCAGACTCCCTGTCTTCTCTGAAGGCAGTCCCAACATACAGGGTGTTGGGGGCATTAGTCTGGAGAGAAGTAATAAAATGAACTGATGGCTGAATTTTTCTAATCAAGTCTTCAAAATAGAAATAAACAGTGTTTTGGAAGGATTTAATTTTTCCATTTAATTTTACTAGAAGTTAGTGAGCAGTTATGAAAGGTTCTGGGAATTCAGGTGTGCACGTTCTGTGGACACGTGTATAATAGGGGGTTTATCCTTTCTGACCTGTTTCCTCATTTGCAAAAATGAGGAAATTGGACTATGGGATCTATGATACCTACATTAAAAAATATTTTTTTATTAAGGTATCACTGATACACATTCTTATGAAGGTTTCACATGAAAAACAATGTGGTTACTACATTCACCCATATTATCGAGTCCCTCCCATACCTCATTGCAGTCACTGTCCATCAGTGTAGTAAGATGCCACAGAGTCACTACTTGTCTTCTCTGTGCTACACTGTCTTCCCGTGACCCCCCCTACACCATGTGTGCCAATCATGATACTCCTGAATCCCCTTCTCCCTCCCTCGCCACCCACCCTGCCCCATCCCTCCCCTTTGGTAACTGCTAGTCCCTTCTTGGAGTGTGCTGCCATTTTGTTCCTTCAGTTTTGCTTCATTGTTATACTCCACAAATGAGGGAAATCATTTGGTATTTGTCTTTCTCTGCCTGACTTATTTCACTGAGCATAATACCCTCTAGCTCCATCCATGTTGTTGCAAATGGTAGGATTTGTTTTCTTCTTATGGCTGAATAGTATTCCATTGTTTATATGTACGATATTTTTTTTATCCATGCATCTACTGATGGACACTTAGGTTGCTTCCCTATCTTGGCTATTGCAAATAGTGCTGTACTAAACATAGGGGTGCATATGTCTTTCTGAATCTCAGAACTTGTATTCTTTGGGTAAATTCCTAGGAGTGAAATTCCTGGGTCAAATGGTATTTCTATTTTTAGTTTTTTGAGGAACCTCCATATTGCTTTCCACAATTGTTGAACTAGCTTACATTCCCACCAGCAGTGTAGGAGGGTTCCCCTTTCTCTGCATCCTCGCCAGCATTTCTTGTTCCTAGTCCTTTTGATGTTGGCCATCCTAACTGGTATGAGGTCAGATCTCATTGTGATTTTAATTTGCATTTCCCTGATAGTTAGTGATTTGAAGCATCTTTTCATGTGCCTGTTGGCCATCTGAATTTCTTCTTTGGAGAATTGTCTGTTCAAATACAATACCTACATTTTTATGATTTTGTACCTTACAATCTGACAGTTAATTTTATGTGTCAGCATGGCAAGGCTGTGGTACCCAGTTGTTTGCACCTGAATCTAGATGTTTCTGTGAAGGTGTTTTTTAGGCTAACATTTAAATTAGTAGGCTGAGTAATGCAGATTATCCTCCAACACCTGGGTGGGACTCATGAATCTGTTGTGGGAAAAGACTGAGGTCCCCAGAAGAAGAAATCCTGCCTCCAGACTGCCTGCATATTCAAGATTACAACATTGACTGTTGCTGGAATTTCCAGCCTGCTGGCCTATACAGCACAGTTCATGCTTGCTAGCTCCCAAAGTCCTTAAACACTCCTTAAAAATCTCTCTCTGATAAATGGAATAAACACTTCAATAAATGGAAAAGAAGATAATTTATAGTGGCAACATCTCATAATCATATAATCATAAACATACAATCATTCAAAACCTATTTCCATCACTTACTGTATGACTCTGGACATGTTACTTAACCTTTTTAGGTCTCAGATATTTTAAAGTGGGAACACTAAGAGTCTTTACATTGTTGCATTGTTTTAAGGATTGAACAAGATAGTCTACATTAAGTGTTTCATACAGTGCCTGACCCAAAGGAACATCCATCACAAAGTAGCAATCTGGCAAAAAAGAACATGGAAATGACTCTTTCTATGGGGGAATGGGTCTGAGGCAAGGCCCATTAAGGGACAGGTGGCATAAAACCACGAGGCAATACTTTTGTGACCTTGAGCAGCTGTTTGAGATGCTCCGTGGTGCCAATGACACTTTCCCTTTGGATTTTATAGTTGGTGCTCCCCTGCTAAGGCCAAAACACCGAAGCAGAATAACCTTGAGGAGCCAAGGCTAACAGTCTGCTTCAAAGTCTGATCACTGGGATGGACTACTTCAAGATACCCGATTAAAAAAAATGGTTCCATAGTTAAATAAATTGAGAAAATACCATCTATTATATAAAAGTTTCAGAGATTCAGATTATATAAAACCCTCATGGGCCCAGTGAAGGCTGAGAGGTCCTGAGGTCAAAGACAATATTTAATTTGTTTCACCCAGAGGTGGTTTAGTGTATCTCACCTTTTTCAGAGAGCATCTGCTGGTATCCTGTGGAACCCAGGGACCACACTCAGGAAGTACAGTTTGGTTGGTAACATTCTGAACTAGGAGTATGGAGATCTGAGTTCTCATTTCAGCTACCGTCTTGTGATTTGGGACAAATCTCTGGGCCTCGGTTTCCTCACATGTAAAGTTAAGAGACTGGAATTATTTATGCTCAAAATGCTTTCAGGGGTTTCCTATAGACCCATGTTGGAAAACATTGCATACTGTATTAATTTTAGATGCCAACTTTCCTCATTCCCAGATAGGGAAGTGGTGGTTATTTGCAGGCTCTGGAAGCTAGCATGTGAAAGCAGCTCTCAGCCAATATTGAGTCCTCAGTTTATCATCTTTTAAGTGGGTATAATAATATCTATCTTACAGAGTTGCATTGAAGACTCCCAAGCAAGAAAATGTAGGGAAACTAACAAGTCTACTCTAATATCAGTGTGGGGTTTTAATCATTCCAGAATGAAGGGCTAGTCCAGGTAAGTGGATCTCATCACAGGCTGCTCATTAGAATCACCTGGGAGCTTTTGAAAAACACTAATGTCTGGGCCTCCAGATCTGTTAACTCAGAATCTATGTGGGAGAGACTTGGGCATCATGTCATTTTGAAATTCCTTAAGTGATTCTCATTTGCACCCAGGGTCTAAAACCAATGACCTTCCTGGATCCTTGCTACTCAGGTGTAATCAACAGACAGGCAGTACTGGCATCCCCTGGGGGCACACTAGAAATCAAAGAACCCCAGGACC